CAAATATTTATTATGCCATTTTTATAATAATTTATATATTTTTTCTTTCCCATTATAACAATTTGTAACGATGTAATTATTTGCATAATAATTCTGTTTAAATAAAATAATAATAAAAGATGAAACGTGTTCACGTTTTGGGGTAAACTGAATAAATTTACTAAACATAAAATCTAAATATTTGTTAATGAAGTCCGGGGAATATGATGCACAATGGAGGTAATGCATAAAAACTGGAGGAGAGGGAATATGGAGCAGTTGCCCGTGGCAACCAATCAGCTTCTCTCTTTCTTTTTTCAAGCTGAACTGGAAACTGTAGAGAGCCTCTGATTGGTTGCTATAAGAAGACTGTCCGCTCCAGTTTTCATGGATTCCCCCCCAATGCGTCTGTGAAGGGGGAATGGCAGTTCAAGAGAGATTTTCTTGGCCATAAATTGGTGACATTGCTGTTGTGCACGGCAACCAGGAAGCTTCTACCTTTCATCTTCAAAGCTCAACTGAACGAACTGCAGATCGAAGCTGATTGGTTGCCATGGGCTACTGCTCCAGATTCTGTCTGCACCAGTTTAGATAAATTCCCCCCTTGTCTTTTCCTCTGGATCCATCTGTCAGTTTTTTCAGATGGTTGCAGATGGAATTCTTGTGTAAAAAGTCTAGTGTCATGATTTGACTTTTACCAGAAGAACCAGTACTACCAGAAGAACACCCGTGGGGCATGTTGGTATTTGTAGTTATACCAAAAATTTGGCCTGTGATCCCCATTGGGGAGTTTTTTCTTCACTTCCTGTTGTATTTACACTACATTGAGGGGTGTGGTAGTCACCCGTGTAGAAAAGCATAGACAGCAATAAAACACATTTTGGCCAGATTTGGGATTTAAGGAGGATGGGGCAGGAAAGCCTGCTGTCAGTGTATTCATTTCTTTATTAATGTCCCATAATTGGAATAAGATAAGGTGGGGGTCAGATAAATGAAGGGTTAGGGGCCACACTTGGCAAAGGTGCCTTAATGGGGCAGAGAAGGGAATTTTTGAATTGCTGATTATTGATTGGAAGAAGAGTAATGGAGTGTGTGGTATGTCTGTGTGCTGTGATGAAGTGTGTGATATGTCTGTGTGCTGTGATGGAGTGTGCGGTATGCCTGTGTGCAGTGATGGAGTGTGCGGTATGTCTGTGTGCTGTGATGGAGTGTGCGGTCTGTCTGTGTGCTGTGATGGAGTGTGCGGTATGTCTGTGTGCTGTGATGAGTGTGCGGTATGTCTGTGTGCTGTGATGGAGCGTGCGGTATGTCTGTGTGCTGTGATGGAGTGTGTGGTATGTCTGTGTGCTGTGATGGAGTGTGTGGTATGTCTGTGTGCTGTGATGGAGTGTGTGGTATGTCTGTGTGCTGTGATGGAGTGTGTGGTATGTCTGTGTGCTGTGATGGAGTGTGTGGTATGTCTGTGTGCTGTGATGGAGTGTGTGGTATGTCTGTGTGCTGTGATGGAGTGTGTGGTATGTCTGTGTGCTGTGATGGAGTGTGTGGTATGTCTGTGTGCTGTGATGGAGTGTGTGGTATGTCTGTGTGCTGTGATGGAGTGTG